TTGACCCCTGTAACTAAATATAATTTTTTAAGTATGATTTGAAATTTTTTAACTTCACTCAAAAATTTCAATACCTACTCGAATTTTTTTCTCGAAAATGGACAAGATTTCGAGGGTATGTCTAATAACCAAAAATGATTGTAATTGACCCCTGCAACTGAAAATAATTTTTCCAGAACGATTTGAAATTTTTTCTTTTTTCGTCGAAAAATTTAGGGACTCCCCCCTGTCAACTTTCTTAAAAATTCGTTATTTTATTTTTAGTAATTTTGTTTGACGCTCTACAGAAAAGTTGTCTAATACTTTTTCGTAGGTACCCATGAGCTCTACTTCAGAAAAAAGTTTCATTGAAATATATTCACTATAGTAAGTGTTATGGCTGTTTGAATATTAGACCATTTTTGCATGGGGATTTTCTTAGTTTACGTGGTCAAGGAATAACTTTTTCAATATTGTTAGAATTTCTACATATTCTTCACTAAAATACGCATTATTTGCCTTTTCAAACATTAAAATCCTTCAATCCGTTCAAGAGTTATGACATTTTATGAAATTTCAGGGTTGCATTTCTGACTTTCACATTAGATTTTCGGTCAGAAATTTTTTTCTTGAAAATGCGTAGGATTTCTGGGTTATGTGTAATGACCAAAAATGCTTGTAATTGACCCCTGTAACTAAATATAATTTTTTTAGTATGATTTGAAATTTTTCAATTTCACTAAAAAATTTCAATACCTACTCGAATTTTTTTCTCGAAAGCGGGCAAGATTTCGAGGGTATGTCTAATGACCAAAAACAATTGTAATTGTCCCCTGTAACCGAAAATAATTTTTCCAGAACGATTTGAATATTAATTTAATTTTTTAATAACTTTTTAACGAAGCCTCAGTCAAGAAATCGAAAATTCTTGATTTTCTCTAGAATCTCTCATTAAAATTTTTCCCAGAGGTGGTCGAACACCCTGTACAAGGACTAAAGGCGCCATTTTATGACGCTACGCACGCATAATACGTTACACAATACGTTTGCACTTGTCGAACGCAAGTTCGTTTTACCTGTTGAAACGATAACCTGAGGGAATAGAGGGCGGCAGAAGTCAAATACATCTCTGACACACCGCAGCGCTGGCTTCGTACTCTGAAACAAAGACGAAAAAAAGATTACGTTTCGGTTACGTAAAATACGGGCGCCAAATTTAAAAACGAAGGACACGTGACATTGGAACGCGTCCATGATCGATGATTAAGGTGAATAGTTGGAATATCAATCGGTTACGCGACGTTTGCGCTTGAAATAATAATAGTACAGTATCGTTCGAAAATACGCACATTTTTCAGTCTTACGAGAAACAAGTTTTATACATTTTAATCGATGCAAATCGAGAGTAATAAAACTGATTAAAAGTAAAAGACTTGGGCAAAAGAATTTCTTCTGTCGAAGATTACCACGGAAGTAAATAAAATGGCGGGATAAATAATATTATATTAGCTGTTTTAATAAGGAAAAAAATTCGCATGGTTTTCTAACAGATCACCGAGTTATGCGTAAATCGATATTTCACTCTTCTACGTCTTCTCGCAGCAATTATTCATCTAGGTTAAAGACGTGTCGCTATAGACTCGTTTTTCCCCCCGAGACGAGAAAAAATAACTTCCTCGGAGAAATTGTAAATTCTAGCGAGATAAGGAATGCAACGTGCAACGTTAGATAAGCAAGTACCGGGGTCGTGCAAGTATTTTAATAAACTCTCTTACGCGCGATATACGTTACTCTATATTTTAATATTTATGTAACGACGCACTATGCATCGAACAACATACGCATTCAAGGAAACCTTCATTTTCTTACGAACACGCCCTGTTATTTAAAGTTCATTATTTGAAGAGTTGCACAAGATCGTCAACGCTCTAACTCTCCTACGAAACGCGTAAGAAGATTATCGTACTTTTTAGGAATAAATCTCAATTATTAAATGGAACATTCTATTCCTCGTGCTGTGAATTCGCGGCTTCCCTTAAAGTTACAACGTTTCCATAGAAATGTATAAAAATAGAAACGAATCGTCGAAATTACATTGCGTTCCGTGCACGCGTAAAGGTCAGTTAAAATAATGCACTTGAAATTTCGTTTCGCCGATGGAATACGTTGTATGGTGGAGCTAACCTACAAATTCACGTTGCAGCAATTCTCACTAGGCTTAAGAATAGCCGGCACTGATTTACGATATAGAAATAGAACGGAGTAGAGATTTTCTAACATCGGTTGCGGATAGTCGTGGCAGTATTTAGTAACACGGAATGTTTGGTTAAGGTACGAAGCACGTTTCATTTGTCGTTCGTAGGAATTAGAGGAAAATAGCGTGTTACTTTTCGTAACGTCGTCTTACATAACCGATAGTGCTGTAGTTGCATATCACTGTTAGAGAACACCAAAGTTACAGTTAATCGAAGGTGAGAACTAGCTTCGGAACGATACACGTACCGTTTAGTGCGAAACTTGCCGATGAAAGAAGACGATCACCGAAAGTACGCGCTCCTTCCCTTTTCGTTGTTTCCACGTTACTATCGATTCAACGTTCTCGAACACCATACGTGCTTCTCGCGCCATCTACCGTCAGCTGGCTGTACTAACTAGTTGTTGAACCGATCGATTTGTTTAAAGATTGATACGAAAGTTGCAAAAACGAGGGAAATTGCATTACGAATGAGCTATAGGTAGTCAAAACGTGTGTAAACGATAACTTTTTGGCATTTGGTTGGTCTAGATTCTAATTTTGAGAATGGAGCCTCCATGTATCATATGTGGTTCATAACTAATTTGAGTGATAAAAAAGTATTTTGACTTTAGAACTTTTAGAATGTTATCGTATTTTGCGTAAATAATTTTTGATCAAAACTTTTGTCGATATTGCATCGAAAGCAAAATTCGTGATTTTGTTGACGTTACCGATGATCGGGTTAAATGTGGTTCTCAGAATCACTGCTCTTGAGCACAGAGTGCGCTGTAATACTGTTGACTTTTTACGAGATCAGTATTTCGATTAGTTAGAACAGAACCTCGTGTTCAATCGGCGGTGTAAACACCTGATTAGTCATTGAACTACTGTTTACAAGAGATATATCTATTAGAAAACATGTGATTTACTTGTAATTAGTCCTTAAACTATTGTTTATAAAACCTATATTTATTCCAAAACGTGTGATTTAGATTTAATTAGTGCTATCAAATGGGAAGTGTCGATAGCTTCGCGATATTTCAACTTTTCAATCGATTATCGTTACAACGAATCAATTTTAACACTTTACCGACCGATAGCCTATTAATCGACTGTTTTACCGGCCAACGCTTACCGACCGATAGCCTATTAATCAACTGTTTTATCGGTCGACGTTTACCGACCGATAGCCGATTAATCAACCGCTACCGGTCGGTAAAGTGTTAATAAAATACATATTTCATTACTTTTTGACAATTATTAAATAATCAATTACCGAATTAACCTGATTTTAACTATCGTCGCGTGTATTCAGAAAGTAAAAAAATAAAATCTATTCGTTTTGTTCTTCTTTTAGGAGAAAATGTCCATAGATAGTTAGGTTTCCTCGCCAAAGGAAGGGTGGTTAGGGCGAGGTTAGGGTGGGTCTCCATTCGCAGCAACCTCCACGTGGTGAGACCTGGGTCATTATTATTTAGTATGTAATTAATTGCAACACTTGGAACTGTTTGATATAATTATTAATTACTTGGAACTGTTTAATATAATAATTAATTACATAGCAAATAATATGAGCAAATGGCTGTGAGCTTTCCCGTGTAGTTTAGTATAAATATAGCTTCTTCATTCGATCCAAAACGACTAATATTTCGATCCTGTATCAAATAGTAACTCATATCGTATTTTGTTTTAATTAATAAATTGTATAATTGGTAAATTCAACTATAATTCATGGTGTTCTGTTACCTATGGCGTTGTATTCTTGTCTAGGATGGTAAAGTCGCATGTGACGTGATCATATGGGGGAACTACGTTACCACCCGAGCTATATGACACGAAAACCCCAAGTTTATGTTGGTACAGACGAAATCTGTAATTAATAGATTGAATAATTGGTAAATTCAACTACAATTCATGGCACGAAAACCCAAGTTTATGTTGGTACATACGAAATCTTCAATTAATAGATTGGATAATTGGTAAATTCAACTATAATTCATGGTGTTCTGTTACCTATGGCGTTGTATTCTTGTTTAGGTTGGTAAAGTCGCATGTGACGTGATCATATGGGGGAACTACGTTACCACCCGAGCCATATGGCACGAAAAACCCAAGTTTATGGTGGTACAGACGAAATCTGTGATTCTACCGCTGTTAATATAGAAAATTCATTCACAGACAGGTGATCAAATCCAAATTTAACATTTGAATAGGTTCAAATCGGTTCAGATCTCTATTATCTTCCGAAATAATTAATTCTTAATATATTTAAATATTGCTGTTGTTTAATTAATGTTTTCGAAGGAGTTTCTGTTACGTATGGAGTTGTATTCTTGTCTAGGTTGGTAAAGTCGCATGTGACATGATCATATGGGGAAACTACGTTACCACCCGAGCTATATGGCCCACAAAACCCAAGTTTATGGTGGTACAGACGAAATCTGCGATTCTACCGCTGTTAATATAGAAAATTAATTCACCGGCAGGTGATTAAATCCAAATTTAACATTTGAATAGGTTCAAATCGATTTAGTTCTCTATTATCTTCCGAAATAAGTAATTCTTAATATATTTAAATATTGTTATTGATTAGTTAATGTTTTCGGATGAGCTTCCTAAAAGACGAGTATTTATTAAATAATTCAGGTTTGAGAGTTACGTTCCTCAGAATTGTAGGTATCTAAAACAATTTTATTCGATTATCGTCGTTGGTAGCTGCTTTATGCTCAAGCATTTGTATAAAATAAACGTCAGATGGAGTCACTGTGGTCTTTGAACGCTCCTTTAAATTCATAAATAAATAATTAACTTGAAACACGTATTAACGAAAACAAAATAATATTTATCTGGCTAATCGTTGCTCCTGCGTCCTTGTAAGCGTGAAACGCGACAAGAAGCTAATTAATGACGTGTCCGAGGTCTTATCAAAGACTCGTTTCCGCAAATTGTCAGCATTCAGTCATGCAGCATTTCTTTTGGTGCATCGGTCTCGCAGAAAAAAAATCAAAAAACCGCAATAATAAAAATGAAAACATAGCGTTTCTCGTTATGGAAACTGTCGAACGAGTTTCTAGGGTGAAAATAACGAACGTTTAAAAATTTATTTCAGATCCTCCGTCGAATGATCGTTCTCGATGATTGAAAAATCGGTTTTAACGTGACGAATCGTTACTTAATGACGCACCGTGTCGTTTTATCGCTCAGCCGTTTCCGCGGAATGCCGCAATATCCTTTCGAGTCGTCAGAATAAAAGTAAATCGTGATCCAGTGTAAGGTTAATAATAATGGCACGCTGGACGTTTCTTCTCCTTTGGTTTCGACTGTTTTCGATCGTGTTTTCCGAGTACAAGGATTCGGAGAGTCTATGCGCGTCTCAGCAGACTTGCAGAAGCTGCGTGCAAACACCGCGATGCGTTTGGTGCTCCACAAAGGTGATCCTTTTCTTTTTTGTAACAAATTCTTGGAGAGTTTTAGTTTTCTGTGATTTAAAAAAATATTTAGGCAAAATGGAAGTGTTAATTTATTTTTTCGAAAAGATATTTCAAGATCGACAATTTTTAAAAATTGACAATTTTTTTATATGCAATGTTTTGATCGTTTCATTTATATATTTTTTTTTTTGGCAAATTCTTGGAGATTCTCAGTTTTCTGTGATTTAAAAAAATATATTTAGGCAAAATGGAAGTGTTAATTTATTTTTATCGAAAAAATATTTTAAGATCGACAGTTTTTAAAAATGGACAATTTTTTGATATTCAATGTTTCGATCCTTTCAATTATATATTTTTTTTTTTTGGAAAATTCTCGAAGATTCTTAGTTTTTTGTGATTTAAAAAAATATTTAGGCAAACTTGAAACTGTAATTTATTTTTTCGACAAAATATTGTAACATCAACAACTTTTAAAAATGGAATAATATTATTATTATTAATAATAATACGTGCTTTTTTATTTTTGGGGCACCTTGTAATAAAAATGGAGAAATTGAAAATTAATTCACATGGAGAATAATAGATTTGAGTGATTATAAGTGTTGAATTTTTCAAAATGTGGTCTACAATATACAGTTGTCATGAAATATAACAAAGGTTGCAAAATATAGGCGATAACCAGCGATATAAAAAAAATATTCAATCAAAATTGAAGCGTCAATTTATTTTTTCGAAAGCGTCCAAGATATTCCAAGATCATTTTTTTTTAAATGGAACTGTAGGTTCTAATAAATTTTAATAATATTTTAGAGAATTTTTAGAAAAACTGACGATAATTAAAATTTTTGGAAATTAATTTACGTGGAAATAACAGCGATAAATTTGAGTGATTATAAGTATTAAATTCGTCAAAATTTGATCTGCAATATACAATTTTTGTGAAAATTAACCCACGTGCAAATGGTAACGATAAATTTGAATATTTATAAGTATTAAATTCGTCAAAATGTGGTCCACAATATACATATACTTTCATTTAAAAAAAGTCAATCTTTAATCCATCTTAACACACTTTTTGCTTAATATTCTTTTACACCATTGCTAGTTTTAGAAATATTATATTCTCCACGTGAATAGTTCTCTTTAACGAATTAACATAATGTCAATTCAGTTGAGCGACGCGAACACCAACGCTGTGATTCGTTGCGTGACGAGAAAACAATATCTGAAGGAGGGTGATCGATGGTGTCCACATATCGACGTGGTGGACGACGCAAACTCGATGAAAGTGATCGAGAACCGAACGTTGTCCTCAAAGAAAGGCACCAACCCTGTTCAAGTTCAGCCTCAAAAAATCAGCCTGAAACTTCGTCGAGGAAAGTGTCTTTATCGCCATAAAATTTAAAAAAATTGACTCCAACACAATTCAAGCTTATAATTAGACTGTGGATCTTTATGCAAATTCATATTTTTATTAGTAGAAATTAATAAAATAGCTTTGTAGAGGGTTGTTTCAACCCCCAAATGCAGGGTGTTAAGACAATCCTGGGAAAAATTTTAATGGGGGATTCTAGAGGCCAAAATAAGACGAAAATCAAGAATACCAATTTTTCGTTTGAGGCTTCGTTAAAAAGTTATTAACAATTGAATATCTAAAAGCGCAACTTGCGTAACTATTACAGGTACAACTGTTAATAACTTTTTAACGAAGCCTCAATCAACAAATTGGTATTCTTGATTTTCGTCTTATTTTGGTCTCTAGAATCACCTATTAAAATTTTACCCACGAGTTACTGAACACCCTGTATAATAATTCTTACCTTGCTTTAAATTTTCTAATTTTTTGAGAATTAAAATTCATAAATATCCCCAATTTATTTTATAAGGAATGAAAATAGTTTTTAGAGGGTTGTCTCAACCCCTAAATATAATAATTCACATACCTTCTTTCAAGTATTTTTTATATTTTTGCATATTGTATAAAATACTTAGGAATTATTAAATAATATAGAAAAAGTTTTCGAAGCGTTGCAATGTTAGAATTACAGTTTTTGAAATCGTTATTCTTGCGTTTGCAGGCGAAGAATACCGGGTGACCGTGAAGTACAGTCAAGCGGACGACTATCCCGTAGATTTGTATTATCTTATGGACTTGTCGTTCTCCATGATGGAACACAGGAACCGATTGTCGGAATTGGGATTCAAATTGGCGGAGGCTATGAGGAAACTCACCTCGAATTTTCGTCTAGGATTCGGTAGTTTCGTCGACAAAGTTGTGATGCCTATGACCAACGTGCAACCAGAAAAGTATGCGTTTTACAGTTAGAAAACTGTTTAATTTTGAAAAAATTCGTTTAAAAAAATTTTAATGGGGGATTCTAGAAGCCAAAATAAAACGAAAATCAAGAATACTAATTTGTCGATTGAGCCTCCGTTAAAAAGTTATTAACGTTTAAAGTTCCACACATACTGAATTTTTTTCTCGAAAGTGGGTAGGATTTCGAGGGTAGGTCCAATGACTAAAAATGCTTATAATTGACCCCTGTAACCGAAAATAATTTTTTCAGAACGATTTGAATTTTTTTTTTTTCCGTCGAAGAATTTAGGGACTTTCCCCATGTCGGTTTTTCTTAAAAATTCGTTTTTGATTTTTAGTAATTTTGTTTGGCGCCTTACAGAAAAGTTGTCTAATACTTTTTTGTAGATACTCATGAGCTCTACTTCAGAAAAAAGTTTCATTGAAATATGTTAAATTATAGCATGAATTATGGCAGTTTGAATATTGGACCATTTTCATGTGGTTTTGCTCATTTTACGGGATGAAAGAATAACTTTTTCAATATTGTTAGAATTTCTATATATTCTTCACTTAAATACGCATTATTTGCCTTTTCAAACATTAAAATCCTTCAATCTGTTCAAAAGTTATGACATTTTAAAGAGTCACATGAAACTCTCATAAACTGTGGTTGGAGAAATAGGAAAATCGAATTAAGTTCATTGTATATAAAAATTGCACGAGGTTTCTAGCTTTGTTAAACAGTTTTCCTTTTTGCAGGTTGAAACAACCGTGCGCTGCTCTCAATAAAGTATGCGCTCCTTCTTACGGTTACCAGCACCAGATGTCGCTCAACGAAGACATCGCTCTGTTCAAAGTAATCGTTTCGCTTTGAATTCATTTCTTATTCCATTTACACGTTCCAGCGTGTAGAAATAGCATCTAGAATCGAATACGGATCACTGTTTCTTTATTTCAGACTCGCGTAAAACAGGCGCCCATATCCGCAAACGTAGATACACCGGAAGGTGGTTTCGACGCCATGATGCAGGCTATAGTGTGCACCAAGGAAATCGGTTGGCGACAGAACGCACGACGCCTCATTGTCTTCTCGACAGACGCCGTGTCGCACTTGGCTGGGGACGGTAGAGTACGTGGACATATTAAAAAAACTCTGTTTTTTAATAATTAATAATTCTTTGCATCATTCTGTTTATTGTGTTATGTTCTTCTAGCTCGCAGGGATCCTCGAACCCAACGATTGCCTTTGCCACTTGGACGAGAAAGGATTTTACTCGTATTCTCTTCTGCAAGATTACCCCTCCATTGCTCAAGTATTTACTGTTTTTGAGCGCCACACAGTGGTAGAAATTAGAATTACATTAGTTTGTTTGGTATCGAAACTGTGTGGGGTCTCTGTCAATGAGAGATAGGAAAGGAGCTTCTTGTGCTCGCCGCTAGAGGGCTACGCTCTTGACTCTCTCGCCGCCAGAGGGCTACGTTCTTGGCTTTCTCGCCGCCAGAGGGCTATGCTTTTGACTCTTTCGCCGCCAAAGGGCTACGCTCTTGACTCTTTCGCCGCCAGAGGGCTACGCTCTTGAGTCTCTTGCCGCCAGAGGGCTATACTCTTGAGTCTCTCGCCGCCAGAGGGCCACGCTCTTGACTCTCTCGCAAGCGTTCGATAGACCTTCCGTTTGCATATATACGCTCCTCGATCGACTGTTCCATATCGTGGTATCTGAGGCAGAGCTTGCTAGGATTGCTTTATTAACCCTTTACTGTACAATGATGAGTCTTGATTCGTCACAAAAGTTCTCTTAATGTCAAGTTTTTCACAATTATAAGGCTACTCCACTCGTCATCAAGTCTTATATATTAAAATCAACGGATTTTTACATTGACAAAGTGTTCATAAAACAAAATTATAACAAAATTGAACAGTATACGTTTGAAAAATTATTTGAAGTTGAATGGTACGTCAAGGGGTTAATTAATGAGTCCCCCCCACCATAGCAGACCCAGACTTAACCCCTCTGCTTCCCCTATCTCTCGTCAACAGGGACTATCCACGCTTTGGATTAGGGGTAATCAAGTCAAATAATTACTCACTATTCACTTTTGTAAACAGATTAACAATATGGCGCGCGAAAACAACATGAACATCATCTTCGCGATTGTCAAGGGCGCGGAGGAAGCGTATCAGCAGCTCAGTGGAAGCATCAGCGGTTCCTCCATCGGGACACTCGACGACGATTCGAAGAACATAGTCACTCTCATCAGTGGCGAGTACGAGGTGAAAGAATTAGAGAAAAAGAGCCAGGGGATTCCCCCAAATTGTTCACAAAAAACTTGGTTTTGGACAATTGGAATCTGACAGACCCATAGTTTGACATAGACCTTATTTTTACAGCCTCGTTAATATTCAAGAGTCCTATCTGGACTTATTTTCTAGTTTGGACAATTTTTGTAGCTCAGTAAAAAATTAAATTTTGAAAATCAAATTTCGCGTTTTTAGAAACTGGTGCAGTCCGTGACGATGCTGGACAACGCGACGAAGATGGTTGATGTGAAGTACTTCTCCAGATGCTTGGAGAACAATGGGGAATTGAAGGAGAGACGAGAATGCGGAGGATTGCGCGTCGGGAACGTCGTCGAGTTCGAAGTAGCGTTGAAGGTGCGTCGATAGATAGATTCACGATCGCTGAAGATCATGGTCTTGGTATTGAACGTTTGCAGGCGCTCGATTGTCCAGAGGATCCCGACGAGTGGCGACAAACCATAGAGATAAAACCTGGGGGCATAAAGGAGAGCCTGACGATCGACCTGAGCATCGTTTGCGATTGTTCTTGCGACAGGCCAGGACAATCGGTGAGAAATAGACGAGTCTTCTTCTTGAAGTCTTCTTGAACAGTCTTGAAGAGATTGGACTGTGCAAAACAGTGTCAATGGTCTTTGTGATGATAGCGTTTTGACTCCATTTTGAGTCCAATGCCCTCCAACTCGCCATTTTGTTTGTTTCATACAAGGGGATTCCCAGAACCTCAATTCTAATTAAATTCAGAAAATTGAAGGAAAAATAAGTATACAGATTATTATGTATATTATTAATAGGCAAATCTATTGTAAAACAGAATACAAAGTATTAAAATAATACAATAATATAGTAAAAGATTAGTTAAAGTAGGACTTGTAGGATTTTTCTTTTGAGGGTAGTTAACCATGCATTAAAAATATAATTTCACCCAAACGTGTATTGCATAATGCAGAAATGCTAGTTACAGGGTCATATGTACTGTATTTAGCCCAACAATTAAAATAGAAATTATAGTAGATTTATGATTTACCATTTTCTGACACGTTTTTAATGAAAATGGTAGGGAAACGAGCCTAATTCCAAGTATTGCAATGGCCACAGCGACCTGGTTTGCGGTGTGTGCTCCTGCCAGGACGGTTTCTATGGGAAGCAATGCGAGTGCAAGGGAAACGACTTTGGGGCCAGGAACGAGATCGACATGGCGGAATGCAAACCCAACAACGAGACCAATGAAATTTGTAATGGTCGTGGAGTCTGTAAATGTGGCATGTGCGATTGCGACAAGCGATCAAATCCTCAGGAGATCTTCTATGGGAAGTACTGCGAGTGCAATAATTTCTCCTGCAAACGCAGCGATGGACTGGTGAGGCTACATGTTTACATGTTCAGTTTGTAGTCTCGAGTTCCTCTGAATTTGAAAAATTGTGCAGAAAATAACTGTTTAGCGAGGGGGTCAAATAGAGCTTAAAATATTTCGAATTTTTGTATAAGGTTTTCTAATGAGAGCTTGATTTACATATGTGCTCCAGAGTACCTATTGTAGCTTCCATTTTGTTTCAGTTTCTACATATACATACATATGTAGATATCTGTTACAAGGTTTTCCAATGAGTGCTAGATTTACATGTGTGCTCAGAATGATTGAAAATTGTGTTGTATGAATGAGCTCTAGATTACCCTTTGTAGCATCCATTTTGTTTCAATTTCAAAGTTCTGTAACTATATAGAAATCTATTACAAGGTTTTCGAACAAGAGCTTGAGTTATATATGTATATGGTCAGAATCATTGTAGCTTCCATTTTGTTTCAATTTTAAAGTTCTATAAATGCATTGAAAACTTATACAAGGTTTTGCAATGAGAGATTGAGTTACATATATGCTCAGAATAATTGCACCTTCCATTTTGATTCTATTTGAATGCTTTGTAATATATAGAAATCTGTTACAAGGTTCTCCAATGAGTGCTTGATTTACATGTGTGCTCAGAATGATTGAAAATTGTGTTGTATCAATGAACCCTAGATTACTCTTTGTAGCTTCCATTTTGTTTCAATTTTAATGTTCTATAAATATATAGAAATCTATTACAAGGTTTTCCAACAAGAGCTTGAGTTACATATGTGATATGGTCAGAATCATTGTGGCTTCCATTTTGTTCCAATTTGAAAGCTCTATGATTAAATTGAATACAAGGTTTTCAAATAAGAGCTTTGTTTTTATATGTGCTCAGAATCATTGAAAATTGTGGTGTAGCAATGAGCTCTAGATTACCCTTTGTAGCTTCCATTTTGTTTCAATTTTAAAGTTCTATAAATGCATTGAAAACTTATACAAGGTTTTGCAATGAGTTGTTGAGTTACATATATGCTCAGAATAATTGCACCTTCCATTTTGTTTCTATTTGAATGCTCTGTAATATATAGAAATCTGTTACAAGGTTCTCCAATGAGTGCTTGATTTACATGTGTGCTCAGAATGATTGAAAATTGTGTTGTATCAATGAGCCCTAGATTACTCTTTGTAGCTTCCATTTTGTTTGAATTTTAAAGTTCTATAAATATATAGAAATCTATTACAAGGTTTTCCAACAAGAGCTTGAGTTACATATGTGATATGGTCAGAATCATTGTGGCTTCCATTTTGTTCCAATTTGAAAGCTCTATGATTAAATTGAATACAAGGTTTTCAAATAAGAGCTTTGTTTTTATATGTGCTCAGAATCATTGAAAATTGTGGTGTAGCAATGAGCTCTAGATTACCCTTTGTAGCTTCCATTTTGTTTCAATTTTAAAGTTCTATAAATGCATTGAAAACTTATACAAGGTTTTGCAATGAGTTGTTGAGTTACATATATGCTCAGAATAATTGCACCTTCCATTTTGTTTCTATTTGAATGCTCTGTAATATATAGAAATCTGTTACAAGGTTCTCCAATGAGTGCTTGATTTACATGTGTGCTCAGAATGATTGAAAATTGTGTTTTATCAATGAGCCCTAGATTACTCTTTGTAGCTTCCATTTTGTTTGAATTTTAAAGTTCTATAAATATATAGAAATCTATTACAAGGTTTTCCAACAACAGCTTGAGTTACATATGTGATATGGTCAGAATCATTGTGGCTTCCATTTTGTTCCAATTTGAAAGCTCTATGATTAAATTGAATACAAGGTTTTCAAATAAGAGCTTTGTTTTTATATGTGCTCAGAATCATTGAAAATTGTGGTGTAGCAATGAGCTCTAGATTACCCTTTGTAGCTTCCATTTTGTTCCAATTTTAAAGTTCTATAAATGCATTGAAAACTGATACATGGTTTTCCAATGAGAGGTTGAGTTACATATATGCTCCAGAGTACCTTTCATAAGCTTCCATTTTGTTCCAATTGCTATAAATATGTAGATATCTGTTACAAGCTTTTCCAATGAGTGTTTGATTATCATGTGTGCTCAGAATCATTGAAAATTGTGTTGTATCAATGATCTCTAGATTACCCTTTGTAGCTTCCATTTTGTTTCAATTCAAAGTTCTATGGTCCTTTTGGAAAAGCATTTACAGTTACACATGAGTGTCTACAAATGTAATTGACTCACTTCCAACAGCAAAAAAAGAGCACTGCATGCAATGTCTATTCTATACTTCTTGCATGATGTCTTTTATAAAGAGGTTGGATGAATTATGTACGCCTTGTGTATTCTGTTATATTGCATCTGTCGTCGTGTTTGCGTTTAAGATTTGCGGCGGGCGAGGGAAGTGCGAATGCGGTACTTGCAATTGCTTTCCAGGATGGGGCGGCGAGACTTGCGATTGCAAAGAGACGAACAGCACATGCATACAGAGCAACAGCGAGCACGGGGATATTTGCAATGGACGCGGTGACTGTGTCTGCGGTAGCTGCCACTGTCACGAGAAGGACAACGTGCGATACTCTGGCCAATACTGCGAGGAATGCACCGTGGGTGTCTCAGAAAAACGTATTTTCAAATATCTGAAAACTCCAAATGAAACTCAATGATCCCTTTTCAGACCTGTCCTGGACAATGGTGCGAGAAACTGAAAGATTGCGTGGAATGTGTGGCTCATAATACTGGCCCATTGGCCAAAAATGAAAGATGCAACGAGTGTCCACACCAAATTGATATTGTGAGAAATGTTTATTTTGTGGAACTTTTATTCTCCTATTTTGTCAATTTAAAACAATCATACTTGTGATGTTCCTTTTATTAAACATATTTTTTATTTTGGTCTTCTGTAATAGTTCTATTACATTTAACTTGAATTAAAGGTTAGGAAAGAGTCACATAATTTGTAACGTTGTTACAGTTACTTTTAACTCAAGATTAGGAACCATTGTAAGAAGAAGATTCCAATTAACAAAAGTCTCTTTCATTCAGGTCGACGCCATCACAGATAATCCACTCGAAGATCAGAAGAGTGAAGCTCACATTTGTCGGACAAACGGCGAAGAAGGCTGTATATTCATTTTCAAGTACCAATATTACAGAGACAGTACAGGAGGTGAAAAGATTTTTAAAATTCTCGCTGAGAAGGGGAAAACGTGTCCCACGCCAATCAATGTCGTCGGTGAGTGGACGTGGAAGCTTTTAATTTTCAAAATGGCGGATAAAAGGGTTAATAACCTGTATATATCATTGAAATAAAATTTTTTAGGTATCGCTGCCGGGTTGATGGTGAGTACAGTGATTTTGGGTTTCCTGATTCTTCTCATTTGGAAGATATGGACGACCATTTACGACAGACGCGAGTACGCGAAGTTTGAGCAGGAACGAGCCTTGGCCAAATGGCATCGTGTTAGTATCTCCAATATTATTAACCCTATTCGTCTTATTAACCATGTTCTCTACCATTTAGGACGACAATCCGCTCTACAAGCAGGCCACGTCGACCTTCAAAAATCCAATGTACGACGAGGTTGCTCATAATTAGGCGAAGAGGATCGTGCAATAAGAAGATTCGAGGGAATAGAATTTCGCTGCATCGACAGGCACGCGACCCAACAGGTAGCGCCACGGTAAACGCTCGAAGCGAATCAACGTGGACGCCATGTTAGTTAATTGCTGGTGCTGGTGAGAAGAGGAGGACCGGTCGACGAGAAACCTCTCATTGTTCCTTTTCCTGCTTCCTCACTCGCCGTTAGTTAAACCACCGGTCTACCAGCCATCCAATTCATTTTTTTTTTCTGCCAATTTCCTACAAAACATTTTTCTTACTTCGTATCTGGAAATTCCATCCTTCAGCTCATTGGGGAAAATTGAATAAAGTTGATGGGAATTTTCATCGTGATAAACGACGAACGAATAAATGCAAGTTATAATTACATTACCGTCGTTCTCAGAGGCTGTTTATCGAGTCATGGTAATGTTTTTTTTTTATCACTTGCACTTGCACAATGTACTGATCTATGAGAACGTTAACTCAGAGTTTGTCGAGTCATCCGTATAATGCATTATTGGTTCTTTTACCGTCGAGGTTCCAGTTATTAGCGTCGATGGAAACGAGCGTTTCGAAAGAGCGTCGTAACGTTACATAAATTTAGAAAGGCGGTAAATTTCTATTTGCAAGCGTTGCTTCGAACGCTTAGGAGCGAAAATTTCGATCTCGATCGGTGAGACTTCGAGGCTGCTTCGAGAAATCGCACAAAAGATCGAAATCTCTCGATCGACGGTAAAAGGAGATTGCATCGGCCAGGGAAAGTAAACAAGCTCGGAAACTGGATTTAGCGCGAAGTTTCCGATCGAAATCTAGATCGATCAATATGCATTACACAAATTGTGCTGTGCGAACGGAATATTAATAATTCCTGGAATGACTAGCTGCACAAATTGCAGTACGAGTTTTGAATAGTTTTGAATAGTTTTTAAGAGTTTTAAATAAAGATAATTTTTTTTCTGCGTTTTTTTAGTAGCGTAAATTAAATGTAGATGGCGAGAGGAATTTCTAGTATATTATCTAGGGTTTAATTTTGTGTACTTTTTGTCATATATGTATTTAGGGTCCCTAGGGTTGGAAGAGGATGTGATATTCTTCAATTTTGATATTATTTATTGTTTTATGTAATTTGTTTGTATTCGTATTGATTTAACCTTCCTTTTTATTAGGTCCAATGATCCTGTATTTGTGTACATCTTAATATAAGTCTGGAATGTAGTTAATGTAAATTGGAATGAAGGAAGAACTAATGAAAATAAGCCTGAAATGTGGAATAGAATTCTCTGTAGCATCTCATAATTTTATATTTATTTTGTATTCATCCATCTTTTCTTTTTATTAGGTGCAATGATCCCTTTAATACAACTCTGGATAGTAATCAACGTATTCTGGAATGAAGAAAGAATTTTAGATAAGTCCAAATTTATCTTTCTCAACAGTGTTGATAAACATTTCTTTTAAGAAAATTCCCTAGAATAAGAAAGAGGTAACATAATGTAGATGTAGCCAAAAGGTCAATAGGAGAACATTGATGATTTATAAAGTGATTTACATAATCTTGTTACCTTTTGATATGTCCATATTTTGCTAGCCTAGGTTTATCTTTTTCAAAAACGTTGATAAGCTTTCCTCAAGAAAATTCCCTAGAATAAAAAAGATTGCACAATGTAGATGATGATTTAAAAAGTCTAATCTTTTAGCTTTCAATACTTCATTTTGTGAGTTCAGATTCATCTTTCTTAACAATATTAGCTTTCTTTGATCAAATTCCCTAGAATAAAAAAGGTTGCAAAACATAGATATAGTCAAGGCCTGTAGGAGAAAGTTGATGATGATTTTGAAAGCATTTTCGATACTTTCATCTTTTTTAGGTCTAAATTTATCTTTCTCAACAATGTTGATAAGCTTTTTCTGCAAGAAAATTCCCTAGAATAACAGAGATTGCAAAACAAAGACATAGCTAAAAGGTCAATAGGCCAAAAGGCCAATAGAAAGAACTTGATGATGATTTAAATAATATTTTCGATACTTCCATATTATCCAAGTACAAATTTATGTTTCCTGAAAACATTGATAAGGTTTCTCCAAGAAAATTCCCTAGAATGAAAAAGGTTGCAACATAGGGACATAATCAGAAGGTTAAAAGGAAAAAATGTAATTAATACAACTCTGGAAGACAATTATCGCAGTCTAGAAGAAAAAAAAAGGATTGTTTAACGAAAAACAAGTCTGTAATATGGAATAGAATTCTCTATAGCTTCTCATAATTTTATTCTTAAATTTTGTTATATTGATCCACCTTTTTTTTCAGATATTATGATGTTATACACCTTAGTATAATTCTTGAAGATAATTAACGAAGTCCAGAAGAAAACCAAGGATCGTTTAACGAAAAATAAGCCTGAAACATGGAATAAAATTGTCTATAGCAACTCATAATTCTATTTTAAAAATTTGTTTGTATTGATCCATCTTTCCTTTTAGGTACAATGATCCTATACACGTTAATACAACTCTGAAAAATAATGAACGTATTCTGGAGTGAAGAAAGCATTGTTTAACGAAAAATAAGCCTGAAACATGCAATAGAATTCCGTTTAACATGCCGTCTTTTGATCCCAATTTTTCTGCTTCGCGTTTCCATCGAATCGTACATTTCAACCGATAAAATCGTGTCTAAACAAATAAGTTCAAAGCTCCAGAATACTCTCTGCCTTTCATAACATGGTATTTTACATCGTATTTAAAGTGACGTTAACGTCAATTCGCGAGGTGATCGTGACTCTAGTCGACCGCCATCTTGAAAGTGTCAGAGAACTCGAACACGTCAATTATCGAGAATATCGATTCGATATTCCAGAATCTAGCGCGCCATAGACGGTTATTTAGTTTTTCATAATTTTATTTTAAAAATTTCTTTGTATTGATTCATCTTTCCTTTTTATTAGGTACAATGACACACCTTAATACAACTCTGGAAGATGATCAACGTATTCTGGAATGAAGAAAGGATTGTTTAACGATAAGAAAATCTTTGAAACAGAATAGAATTCTCTATAGCCTCTCAAGATTTTATTTTTATATTTTCCTTGCACTCATCCATTTTATCTTTTTATTAGGTACAATGATACACCTTAATACAATTCTTGAAGATAATCAACAAAGTCCAGAAGAAAACCAAGGATCGTTTAACACTAGAACTACCAAAATGGTCAAAATGACCCATTCGTAATTTCTAACAAAATTTGTAAAAAATTCTCTCGGCTGAATTTCTGCAAACTTACAGTGGTTCTCTATCAGAAAATGAATATCCATTTACTTCCATTGTATTTCTTTAAGTATCTATCGTTTTAATTGCTTTGATACAATTAAACACACCTCAAGTGTCGTTCTAGTGTTAACGAAAGACGAGCCAGAAACGTGGAATGGAATTTGGCGCGTCGATACCAGGAAGTATGCAGAAGGTGGATATGGGGGGGGGGATGGGAAGACGAAGGTCGGCGCGCGATCACTCGTAAATCAATTTTAAATTTGATCCGGGGATTTCGCGCGTAGATAGGTCCCGGGCCTCTACGGGGCCGATTGTTTCGAATATCCTCTGGCCTCGTACTTTATTGCTCGCTACGCTCGAGGAAGGCAGCCTCGTAAGGAGCTCGTAAATTCGTCACCATAGTCGGCTCCTGCTGCAAAACCCTGCGGCGACTCGCTATATTTCCCACCGGAAAGCTAAAGCTCTGCCCACATCGAGCCTCCCTCCGCCCATACGACTTGATTACGCGATCATCGGTCGTCCACTGTCCCGTCATTATCGCCCTGTCCCTCGATCTCTTGCCTTTTACGAACAAAAGCGTAGTGTCTCTGGCTTGGGAAGCCCCCGAGAACGCGCGACGACGCGACGCAACGGCTTCGAACGCTATTGTTTCGCTGGCGTAACCTCGTTAGGCGCACTCGTCGTCAATCACTATACCTTTAACGCCTCGTAAAGTTAGGAAACACGACGTTCGACCACGCCTCGCGGCCCGATAGGCGATAATCGTCGAGCATTGTTTACGTTTCGAATCCCGGAGATGTTATTCGATTGTAAATCGGTGATTCCCAACAGCCACCAGGAGAAACGTAACTCTGAGATACGACTGTGAATCTTGATGATCGAAAAAAATTGTATTTCGTTTCATAGAGACTAGGATAAAAGCTTAATGTATCTTTGATGCAAATTTAAAAAAAAAGTGACAAAGTTGTTGCAACCCATCTCTTCTCTCTTCTGACTTCTTAAAAAAATAAGGATAAAGGACATGGTAAAACAGCGATTAAAATTGTAACGGAGCATTTAAAAAAATTGTTTGCAAGAAATCTCAACGTTTTGAAAAATGTTACTAGGCGATAATGATGCAAAAAAGGTGTGGTGAAATGGTGTTTACTCGCAAAGAACACCGATTAGATGGAATTCAGAATCGACGAGAAGTGTTTTGAGTAATAAAGTTGCTTTGTAGTCGCGTTTCGAAGATCGAATCGAGCATGCGGGGCCGCCTTCGTAGTTGGGACTTAAGGATAGGTTAGAAAAGCCAGGCCCGGAGGAGAGGAGAGAATAGCAGAGCCCGACCGCTCCGCATACTAAATCACCGCCGCACGTCCGTTTCTTTACATTGCGCAGATTTTATTGATTATTTTACGGCCGAGAACATTGTAAATCTCTTCATCCTGTATCGGCGTCCCTCCCCGCACCGCCGTGTCGGATGCTCCCACCGGGTGCCCATAGCGCCAATTACGCGAGTCGAACGGTATTGTGGTATTCCCTCTGATCTGTCAGCCATACCTGCACGGGAACGTCCCCTGCAAAGTCACCGTTCGCTTCCACGGTTCACCACTATCGGTGAACGTTACGGAATTTGAACGGTGCTTCGTCCACGACGAGATACAGACGTACTCTCGGTCGACGAGTCTTGAGTTTCTTATTATTACTGGGGAAAGATTGTTGGAAACGTTCTTTAAATCGTCTTGTTTTCTCTGTTTCTTCTTATTTGGGGCGAAAAGATTGTTGAAAGCGTTCTTTGAATTGGCTGTTTTCTCTGTTGGTAGTCGAATTTATGTTGGTAGGCTTGGGCAAGAAAATTCCCTAGATTAAAATTCCCTAGATTAGATGCAGATATAACCAAAAAGCCAACAGGAAATAATTGATGATTTACAATCTGTTTTCGATGCTTCCATGTTTTGTAAGTCCAAATTTATCTTTCCCAATAACGTTGATAAGCTTGTTCTGATAAAATTCCCTAGAATAAAAAAGGTATCACAATGTAGACGTAGCCAAAAGGTCAATAAGAGAACATTGATTTATAAAGTGTTTTCCATAATCTTGTTCTTTAAATCTTGTTTTCTCTGTTTCTTCTTATTTGGGGCGAAAAGATTGTTGAAAACGTTCTTTAAATTGGCTGTTTTCTCTGTTGGTAGTAGAATTTATGTTGGTAGGCTTGGGTAAGAAAATTCCCTAGATTGAAAGAGGTTGCACGATGCAGACATAACCAAAAAGCCAAGAATTGATGATTTAAATTGTGTTTTCGATGCTTGCATATTTTGTGAGTGCGAATTTATCTTTCTCAATAACGTTGATAAGCTTGTTCTGATAAAATTCCCTAGAATAAAAATCATTGATGATTTATAAAGTGTTTTCCATAATCTTGTTCTTTAAGTCATCTTGTTTTCTCTGTTTCTTCTTATTTGGGGGCGAAAAGATTGTTGAAAATGTTCTTTAAATTGCCTGTTTTCTCAGCTGGTAGTCAAATTTATGTTGGTAGGCTTGGGCAAGGAAATTCTCTAGATTAAAATTCCCTAGATTAGATGCAGACATAACCAAAGAGCCAACAGGAAAGAATTGATGATTTAAAATGTGTTTTTGATAGTTCCATGTTTTGTGAGTGCAAATTTATGTTTCTCAATGAAGTCGATAAGCTTGTTCTGATAAAATTCCCTAGAATAAAAAACATTGATCATTTATAAAGTGTTTTCCATAATCTTGTTAGCTTTTGATAAGTCTATATTTTGCTAGTCTAGGTTTATCGTTCTCAATGATATTGATAAGCTTACTTTAAGAAAATTCCCTAGAATGAAAAAGATTGCACAATGTAGATGATGATTTAAAAAGTGTAATCTTTTAGTTTTCAATACGTCATTCTGTGAGTTCAAAGTCATGTTTCTTAACAATGTTG